CTGATGCTGCCTGGCCTGCTGTGTTCCTCCAGCTCCATACTGTGTTATCTCTAACTCCAGCATTGGCAGTTCTTACTATCTCTGAAACTTATAACCTTGCTGATTGTGTGGCTGTGTACTCTTCTGTGTGGGATCTTTGTGTGATGCTATCGAGGGAATATTGTCAAGGCTTTTAAAATGAATGTTGTACAACATAAGTCAAAGTCATATGTGTTAGTAATGGTTATCATTGTGAAAAGAATTAAAACCACGTTTACTTGATGCTGCAGAAGCTATCCTTCTGGCGTTGACAGACTGAGAATGTGTGACACATACTATAAAGCTATTGACCTTTTAAAATAACCAGTAAAGTTGGGATGTTGGCATTATCCTGAGAGGATAGGTTGGTACAATGGTTTAGATACTGTATCTTTAATTCTGACGGTTGCATACAGCTCATAATAATAGGATGAACATCTCCTGGCCCATAGGGAATGAAAATGACTGTCTCAGCAATATCCAAATCAATTTATTGCTTTTGTACTATTGTTTTATTGTACATTATAATACATAGTTGCAGAGAGAGAAAGGAGAGAGGGAGGTAATTTCTCACTCTCTCCTCTGAGTCTTTGAATCACAGCCATTTACATAATACTGCAAAATGAATAAATTCCTGATGAAATCTTGGGCACTAACAACTCACTCTTAATAAAGCTCCCAGTGACCACTGTCCCTTTATTTGTATTAGCTTTCCAATGGTATTACCTGTTGGAAGCATCTCTTCTCTGCCTGTAACTGACATGGCAACACTGAATGTTGATGCCAGGAGCAGAAAGTGAAAAATGCTTTCCTACCCAGAGCCCTGTGCATCAGAATGCAAACTACCTTTCTCAACACGCAAACATAATCTCTCATTGTTTCCATCAAGATATCGCCCAGTCCTGCACATTCAAAAGCCTGTGGTCACTGGAATTTATCCTTTCATCAGCAGATATCCCTTTTGGTGATGAAAGATTGTGTTGTTTTCAGATGGAAGTGTCAGGTTTGGTAAGAAAATGCCCAGAGAGTTATTGAAAAGGTTGAAGATCAAAAATGACTTTGCGTTGCAAGAGTTGTGGGCATGGGTGTCTTGCTGTTGGAGTATAATGTCTAAACTGATGATTAGTCCCTTACATTAGGAGCATTGCCCTGCCATAACATATCATTGGTGTGACGATACTGAGGCTTTAAGAGGTGTACTTTGTCCTGTTTTTCTTTGAAGAGAGGTTTTAAGTGAGGGGTACAGAGCAGTCTACCAGAGCCACTCAAGTAAACAACTTGTGAGACCTTGCATTTTGTTTTAAAGTTGAAACAATAGATGCAGCCTGAATGGGCGTGGTCAAGCTCCCACAGTGCCAGGATTTTTAGTTTTAGTTTTCAGCAGTTGCTGTTGCGGTCTTGCAGAAGTGATAGCCATTTTTCCCCTCTCTTGGTTATAGCCAAAAGCTGGGGGCTCTCTTCCTGCTACTGCAGATGCATGAGAGACAAAATCTGTTTTCTGAATTTACCTTTTGCCAAGGGATATGTTTATGGGATGTTACTATATTGGAACAGTTAACTCGTAATAGTTACTGTATCCATTATTGGGTTATGTTTCCAATAGAGTTAAGTTATTCCAATTCTTTTTTTCTTTTGTTGTATTTTAACTACAGTGAGTGAATAAACTGTGCTTTGCTTTAAATCTGGTAGTTTGACCGATGGAATTGCGTCTGGAACAAAACACCTTATATTTACCTTGAAAATAAGAAATAGTTAGGGTCTAGACTATTGTCTGAATATGTTGAAAGGGTCTGGTCCAAAACACAGGCTACTTAAGTAGTGAAAATTTTGTCAGAACAAATTATCGTAGAAGCTAGAATCTGTGTTGGAAACAAAAAGCGTTGGAGATCACAGCAGGTCAGGCAGCATCCATGGAGAGAGAGCAGTCTAACGTTTTGAGTCTAGGTGAAGAGTCATCTAGACTCGAAACGTTAGCTTCCTTTCATTCCATGGATGCTGCCTGTCGCACTGTGATGTCCAGCAAATTTTGTTTTCAGTGAAAACTTTATCCTTACTTTGAGGAGAAGAGTGAAAAGAGAGAGGAGATCCAGTGTCTGACCATTTCCTTTATTCCGTTGCAGGCATCTTGAGGAGAACCAGATCAACGTGATTGAAAGAGGAGCCTTTCAGGATCTGAAGCAATTGGAAAGACTGTGAGTTACTTCACACACTCTCATTGATGAACCACTATTACAATCTATTTTAAGGCTTGTTTCTCTCTCCTGTCTCTGTTTTCTGAGTTGAATCAAACTTTTCAACTTCTTGTATATCCTAAAGCATTAATTTCTTGCAAAGGGAAGGTGCCATCAGAAGCTGTTATGAAGTGTGAGCTACAGACTGCAACTTAAAATGAAAATTGTCATGGCATGCTTAGACCAACAATAATCCGTCCCATTCTCTGCTACTTGTGCTCGAAATTTCATTTGCCTTGTATCATTGACAACATATTCACTGTATTCTCAACAGGACAGTGGGAATCATCTCTCTTATTCTTCACTGCCTTATTATAATTGGCTCTGTGATCCAGTCCCATCGATATCCTTCCTTGTCTTTTTACTCCCTTACAAAATAGCTCAGTGCTTCCACTAACCATTTTACTGATGTGATGTTTATTCCTAGATAAGTGTGGAAATAGGCTCAGTAGCCTCTACTCTGCCATTCATTGAGCTGATGTCTGCTCTTCAATAACTCCACTTTCCTGCTGGATTTCCCACAATCCCCTCCACATTTGCCTTTATTGCTTTGGAGTTCAGACTCCTAGCCCTCACCCATACACACCTCATACCAGCCAATACCACCCATGCTGCATTCAAAACACCAGTGCCTCATCCAGACCCACACTAATGGTATTCGCTAAATAGAGAACCAGTGAGTCCCATCGTAACACTAGCAAGCTTCTGAAATGCTCATAAAGCCATTAGTCATGACAAGCATATGTACTGCAATTGAATGCATGCATTAATCTTCTCAATAGCACTTTACCTTGCCTAAATAAATACATATGCATTGAAAAATAAATTCAAGGAAATATAAACTTAATTTTGTAAAACTGTAAATGAAACAAAGCTAAATGGCTCTTCACAGCTTTATAAACACTGTCACTGAATGGGATCCATTAGTAGGTTTGGAGTTCAGCCAAGCATTCATAATGAGATGTCATTGCTCAGATGTGCCATTACAGACTTTAAAAATGGATACATTGAAGCCTTTGAAGCAGCCTAAAGAAATGGTTAGCTGACTGTCCTATTGGCTGATTTACTTGACTGACAGGTTGGTCACCTGTATTCTTTTACACCCCACCATTTAACTCTTCCCTGTCTCAGCTCATCAGGTCATCCACAATTTACGTACCAATAGACTTGATGCTTCTAGTGGTTAGCCTCCCATTTTTTTACCCTACATAAACTTGTGCTGTTTCCAAAGCTCTGTTGCCTGCATGTTAACGTGCTCCAAATCTTAGTCACCTCTCACTCTGTAGCTCACTGATCTGCATTGGCCAACCATTTGAAAACACATTTACGTTAAGATCATATCCTTACTTCAGAACTCATCTGTTGCCTAACCCCTCTGTAACTGTGAAGTGGCCACCATCCCTGTATGCTTTTGAGATTTATGTAGTGTTCCGATTCTGGCCTACAGCACATTCCTAGATTTAATTACTGCACTTATTGTTGCCTGAGCTCTCGGCTTGAAATCCTCTCCTGAAACAGTTCTATCTCTTTTCCAGTCTCAGACACTTAAAGATGCTCCTTATACATCCCTGTGATTATTTTTAGTCATCTGTTGCAACATCTGTTTCTGTGGTCTTGGTATTTGGTATCACTGTTGTTAGTGAAATTACATTGGGATGTTGTGCTACGTTAAGTGCACTAAACGAATGTAAGTCGAAGTTGTTTCAAAAGTGAAAGTGAAAAGTTCACAAATTGAATAAACAGGTTTGCTGTAAGTGCCTGAGAATGTTGACCTAATCGATTCTTGGCAAGTCTTGTCCTGTGAAGCAATAAACTCTAGCATTTCTAGCTGGGCATGAGCCAGATCTTTTACAAACGGAGTTTTGATACCCAGTCTATAGAACAGTAACCATATCCCAATGCCAAAACAACCAGTAGAAGGGAAGGAGAAAATTTGACAGTTGGAATAGTTACACTGCAATTACTCTGCAATGATAATAAGCACTGCAGTAGTTTGTTTTTGCTGGAATACAAAACCTTTGCCTGCTTAAAATACTTCCATGTCTATTCTTCTAACCAAAACCAAACAAGCTGGAGTGTCCATTGTAATTAGAGCACACACTAAATGAAGACCTCACACAAGTTTTGTTACGAACAGCTTGATCGTGTTGCTTTGTCAAGAGTTGTGTATCCCCAGTCTGCGATAAAATCGAACGAACCATCTGTCCATCACAGCAGAGGTCTGTCGTGATTAGGACCTGTGCTGATGACAAGCAGAACAGTTCTTCTTTTATCACCATCTCTAGTGAGTTACTAAGGGCTGTCAGATAAATAAATGGTGTATATTTCACACACATAATCATAGAGCTGTGTAGCATGGAAACAGACCCTTCGGTCCAGCTTGTCCATGCTGACCAGATATCCCACATTAATCTAGTCCCACATGCCAGCATTTGGCCCTTATCCCTCTCAATCCTTCCTGCTCATGTGCCCATCCAGATGCCTTTTAAGTGTTGGGATTGTACCAGCCTCCACCACTTCCTGTGACAACTTATTCCATACACGCACCACTCTCTGTGTGAAAAAGTTGCGTATTACATGCCATTGATCAGTATTGGATTGTGGTGAGGGATGCTGGTGTTGGATGGTGGAACAATGATATGTCTTATATCTCCCACCAGTCCATGATCTTCCAACCATTCTCTTTAGTATATGCACTGTTATGGTCTGGCATTGGTGATAGTAGACATTCTTATGGAAGGGTCACCGGACCCGAAACGTTAACTCTGTTTTCTCCTTCACAGATGCTGCCAGACCTGCTGAGCTTTTCCAGCAACTTTGTTTTTGATTCTTACACTATAGTTTACGATGACAATAAAGGCAAAATAATGCACAGTACATAGAGTATAGAAACTGATCATTCCGACCAATAGGTCCATGCCAGTATTTACATTTCCAACAAATCCTCACCCACTTCCTCCACCACAGACCACATTTGCTTCTGTTAGTTTCTGTCTCGTATGTTTGTGGCAGCAGATCCTATTTCTGCTGACAGGAGGAGATATTTTTATCAAACTGTTCAGATGTGCTATTGCACACCTCTAGAGCAAGCGGGAGTTGAGCCTCATCCTTTTGGCTCAGAGGTGTGGATGCTATGACTGTGCCACCAGACCCCCTCACTGGCAGGCATATCACTAGCAGAAGATGCAGATTTAAAGTATTTTGCAAAGAAACCAGAAGTAACAGGAGAAGACAATTATTTCACACGGTGAGCTATTATGATTTGATGTCTGCTACCTGAGATGGTGGTGGAAGGAGGATCAATTGTATCTTTCAGAGCAAATTGGGTAAATATTCGAAGCAGAAACATTGCAGGATTACAATAAAAAAAATCATGGAGTAGGGCTAGTTGGTAATAGACCTCTCAAAGAGCCAGTATTGGTATGATGGGCTGATTGGTCTCCTGCTTCGCTCTCTGATTCTATGATTCTTTCTCTCGTTGGTAAAATGACCTCCTCCTGTGGCATATGATTGCATGGTTTGAGTTTTTGGAAGTATTCCTTCTTAAAATTGATCACATTTTTCTAAGCTTGGTCCTAAGCCTGACAGCCTTGTGAAGATTTCCTGATTATTTTTCATGCAGAGGGTGGCGCAGGTAAGGAATGAGCTGCCAGAGGAAGTGGTGGAGGCTGGTACAATTACAACAGTTAAAAGGCATCTGGATGGGTATATGAACAAGAAGGGGTTAGAGCCAAATGCTGGCAAATGGGACTAGATTAATTTAGGTTATCTGGTCGGCATGGACGAGTTGGACAGAAGGGTCTGTTCCCGTTGCTGTACATCTCCAAGACTCTTATGAGTTAACATATTTGGAAGGGTTTGCGTAAGCAGGTTTACAGACTTAATAAATAATGTTGCCTGTGTCTCCCTATGCTACTGACCAAAATTAAATGTCGGACCACAGAGAGCTGGTAGGAGATTATGTGGCAATAATTCAGTGTTACAGCAGAATCACTCCCAGCCATTTTGTTATCAATTCTAATATATAATGTCTATTTAACAGGGGAGCCTCAATTATCTACCATAATGGAACAGATCTCCTCTTAATAGATCATGCAAATTGGCAGATAACTGAGTCCCCTATACATAGGCTGGCATGGTGAGTTAATTGTAATTGTAATTTCTGACTTCCATTCAGACTCCTTAATTGCGTTCGCCGTACCGTTTTCCATTTTAGAAATTCTTTTGAATTTTGAGAAGAAAAAGTACGAGCAATCTAAGTTACCTCGGTCTTCCAGACCTGAGTGTTGAATTCCCTTCGGTCATTTAATTTAACACCAGATATCGGGGTGCAAGGTTAATAAGTTTGATCAGGTACTGGACATTCAAGTAACAACTTTGTATCCCATGGGATCAAGAGCCCAGAGCCTATGAAAATCAATTCAAAATGCTGAATTGCAAAACTAAGCTTGCACTTTGACTGTCCTAGCAACTCGCTCTGAAACTCTTACAGATAATTGAAAGTGTAGATAATAGTAGTGTGGATGATTGAGGCTTCTCTGCACTTAATTCTCTAATATTCACAATTATATTGCGCTGCTTTCCTTCCTTCTATGTGACAGGCATGGTAAGGTATGGATAATAAATATTAATATTAACAGGGAAATTAATTGTGTATAGTAACACTTCACCAGCACTGGATACATATAGGGGAATACAGATGGCAAGCAACACAATATTCTGTCGATAACGTCAAGATTATCATCGAAATTAAATGCTGCATAGTGCACACAATGTATTATAATTGATACATGTTAATGTACTATAGGCACATAATCTATGCTACACAGCCGTGTGTGAACATACTATACACATGCCACAATATATCCCAGCCTGTGGCTCCCAAATTTAAACTGAATTATTGGAGTGTGCATTGCAAACAGTATGAAATTACTAAATATCTGTAAAGTTACTGCAGCTGT